TTCACCAAGAACCAAAGACAAAAACCACACGATTATCTCAATTGATGCAGAGAAGGCCTTTGACAAAATTCAACAGCCCTTTATGCAAAAAACCCTCAATAAACTAGGTATTGATGGAATGCATCTCAAAATAATAAAAGCTATTTATGACAAACCAACAACCAATATCATACTGAATGGCAAAAACTGGAAGCATTCCTTTTGAAATCTGGTACTAGACAAGGATGCCCTTTCTCACCACTCCTATTCAATACAGTATTGGAAGTTCTAGCCAGAGCAATCAGGCAAGAGAAAGAAATAAAGGGTATTTATATAGGAAAGGAGGAAGCCAAATTGTCTCTATTTGCAGATGACATAATTGTATATTTAGAAGACCCCATTGTCTCAGCCCAAAATCTCCTAAAACTGATAAGCAACTTCAGCAAAGTCTCAGGATACAAAATCAATGTGTAAAAATCACAAGCATTCCTATACACCAATAACGACTTAAAGAGAGCCAAATCAAGAACGAACTGCCATTCACAATTGCTACAAAAAGAATAAAATACCCAGGAATAGAACTAACAGGAACGTAAAGGACCTCTTCAAGGAGAACTACAAACCATTGCTCAACAAAATAAGAGAGGACACAAACAAATGGAAAAACGTTCCATGCTCATGAATAGGAAGAATCAATATCGTGAAAATGGCCATACTGCCCAAAGTAATTTAGAGATTCAATGCTATCCCCATCAAGCTACTAATGACCTTCTTCACAGAACTAGAAAAAAACGCCTTAAACTTCATATGGAACCAAAAGAGAGCCCGCATAGCCAAGTCAATTCTAAGCAAAAAGAACAAAGCTGGAGGCATTACACTACCAGACTTCAAACTATACTACAAGGCTACAGTAATCAAAATAGCATGGTACTGATACCAAAACAGAGATATAGACGAATGGAACAGAACAGAGGCCTTGGGGGCAACATCACACATCTACAGCCATCTGATCTTTGACAAACCTGACAAAAACGAGCAATGGGGAAAGGATTCTCTGTTTAATAAATGGTGTTGGGAAAGCTGGCTAGCCATGTGCAGAAAGTAGAAACTGGATTCCTTCCTGACACCTTACAATAAAATTAACTCCAGATGGATTAAAGACTTAAGCATAAGACCCAACACCATAAAAACCCTAGAAGAAAATCTAGGCAAAACCATTCAGGACATAGGCACAGGCGAGGACTTCATGACCAAAACAACGAATGCATTGGCAACAAAAGCCAAAATAGACAAATGGGACCTAATCAAACTCCACCGCTTCTGCACAAAGAAACAGTCATTAGAGTGAATCAGAAACCAACAGAATGGGAAAAAATTTTTGCAATCTACCCATCTCACAAAGGGCTAATATCCAGAATCTACAAAGAACTAAAACAGATTTACAAGAAAAAAACAAACAAGCCCGTTCAAAAGTGGGTGAAAGATATGAACAGACACTTTACAAAAGAAGACATACATGGGGCCAACAAACATCAAAAAATGCTCATCATCACTGGTCATTAGAGAAATGCAAATCAAAACTACATTGAGATACCATCTCACGCCAGTTAGAATGGCGATCATTAAAAAATCTGGAGACAACAGATGCTGGAGAGGATGTGAAGAACTAGGAACACTTTTACACTGCTGGTGGGAGTGTAAATTAGTTCAACCATTGTGGAAGACAGTGTGGCGATTCCTCAAGGACCTAGAAATACAAATTCCATTTGACCCAGCAATCCCATTACTGGGTATATATCCAAAGGATTATAAATCATTCTACCATAAGGACACATGCACACGAATGTTCACTGCAGCACTGTTTACAATAGCAAAGACCGGGAATCAACCCAAATGCCCATCGGTGATAGACTGGACAGGGAAAATGTGGCACATATACACCATGGAATATTATGCAGCCATCAAAAACGATGTGTTTGTGTCCTTTGTAGGGACATGGATGAACCTGGAAACCATCATTCTCAGCAAACTGACACAAGAACAGAAAATCAAACACCGCATGTTCTCACTCACAGGTGGGTGTTGAACCATGAAAACACATGGACACAGAGAGGGGAGCATCACATACTGGGGTCTGTTGGGGGGAAATAGGGGAGGAACAGCAGGGGGTGGGGAGTTGGGGAGAGATAGCATGGGGAGAAATGCCAGATATAGGTGATGGGGGGGAAGGCATTAATCACACTGCCATGTGTATACCTATGCAACAATCTTGCATGTTCTTCACGTGTACTCCAAAACCTAAAATGCAATTTAAAAAAATTAAAACCAAATGAGAGACCTATAAATATTTCCACTCGCTGGTGTTGGGGCAGTGTGAGTATACTTCATCCCGTGTCTGACACTGTGGGAGGAGCCTAGTTAGTCCCTGGGATGGGAGGGAACATTCATGGCCACTGGTTTCCTCCCCTGGTCTTAGAGGCTGAACACTGGTACACTCTCAGTAAAATAATACAGGGATGTTAGTGTCTGCATTCACTTTATGCCAGGGAGCCCCTGATCCTATGCCAACAACCCCATAAATCAGGCTTATGGACCCCTAAACCTTCAGAGCTCCCAGTCAGAAAACTTCTCTCCCATGCCATGGCCCTCTATTCTGGATGTCTGCACCCTGCCATGAGACTAGGAGCTCCTGGAGGGCAGGGCCTGCAGCTTAGCTCAAAGCTTGCCTCTATGACTACCCCAGTGTCTTGCATAGAGTCGATATTGAATGAACATTTACGAGACTTTGAAAGGCAGTCGGGTATGAAATATCATCTTGGTGCATAACTTGGGAATAGAGGAATATGGATACTAGCATGTATCCATGAAGCCTTTCATCCTCTCAGGAAAAGCACAACCCAGCCCATGGCTTAGCTACTTCTTGAAGTACGCAGGAGTGCAGTAGTCTCATGGATGAGAATGCCACCTAGTGGCATGGATGTGGTAGTCTCATGGCAGTGATGAAAGCAGGTCAAGGAAGAAATTAAACCTGTTTCAAACAGATCTTTGAAATAAAGATATACAAACCATCACAATAAGTGGAAACAGTGGGGACCAGATGAAGTGTCTGTATAAAGGCATGGCAGCTACAAAGTCAATATAGCACCAATATACAAATTTCCCTGTGATGTAATAGGTTTCCTTTGTTTCAAACTGAAGACGTTCCATCTCACTGCCAAGGGCTTACAAATTATCCCTGAGGGTCAGGGTTCATGGTACTTACTCAAGGTTCCTGTGGACACTGTTGTGGTCCCATAATGTTAAAATCATTCTATCATCTGTGAGTACTTTCTCTTATTTAGTGGGGAGATGATGGAACTTGTTGATCATAAGAAGTATATAATGGGAAAAATCTCCTTTACTAAAGGTTCATGTAATGACAGTTATGAAAAAACTTTTTTTTCATTAAAGCAAACTAATTTTTCACTAAAGAAAAAGTAATTATTTAAATGTTTAAAGAAACAACTTTTTTCATTAAAGCAAATTAATTATTTAAATATTACAGAGTGTCTCCAGGTACTGACTAGTGTTCTTAGAAAAAAACTTTTAAGAACAGAAAAATTCAGATCAAAAGAACACAGCTTTATCTTTCACCCTTCAAATATAAGTCAGATAGTGGCTGTGAAACTTAGTGCAGGGAAATCCCTCCATTTTCAATAACATCAAAATGGAATCATTGCTCAAGCTCACACATACCAGGTCTGAAAGGACATGTGGGTTAAATTTCTCACACTTGGTCTGTTTGAAATGATGCTCTTGCTTTTGGTAAGATCAACTAAAGATAGTTACTCTGGACTTAAGAGCTTCATGGAACAACATAGACTTGATTCTCCCAAAAGTACTTTACGCAGCTTGAGAAGTCGATTCCTAACAAGTGCCTTTGGAAGTCAAGGCAAAAGATTTTTTAAAAAACTTGAGCTGGAAGAGATTTTAACCAATATAACTGGGCAGCCTGTGGATTCAAAAGGTAACAGCTTATCTGCTTTTAAACGCTGGTGCAATAAAAGAGTTCACAATAAAGTTGGACAACGGCCATAACATTTTTTATGGAAACTGTTGCAAGTTTCTGAACTGATCTTTCTGTTTTCACTTGTCTTAATTTGGCCAAACCCACAGATCTTAGCACAGGATCATAATTCTACCATTGATACTATGCTTCAGCTAAGCTAAATTTCTAACTGTTCAACTGTATCAATATGTTTTTTTTTACTTCTCTAGCAGTGAAAAAAATTGAGTCACCCCAAAAGGTTGTTAGGATCATTCTCAAGTACTGTAAAAACCCTGTCCAGAAGAGACATATCCTTAGACATACTGTCACACAAGATTCTGCCTTTACAAATATAGATCCATGGAGGATGAGTCAAGAGTTTATGCCTCTCTGCACCTGATCTGGGTTGTTTTATTCCTTGTTATGCTACTGACTAATCCACTGCTTCCCAAACATTTTTGGAGTTTTGACATTTCACTGGTTCTAAGCAAAACAATTGTTTGCATTGCTTTTATAAAATTTACCTAGCCTACCCCCAAGAATGTTGTAACTTTTCAAAAAAAAATTAAAGTCAATTAAAATGAATTTGGCTTCGAGAAATTTAGAAGAATTTTGTGAGGTACTTTAAAATCCTATGAAACACTCTAGAATGCCCAAAACAAGGAGTTGAGAGTAACTATTTTGGCAAATACGTTTGTCTCTCCATGCTTTGTTGTTCCCACCTACAAAATGAAAACTAATGATGCTTCTACTCTTTTCTAAGTCTCCCGGTCTGTATGAGAACACACGCTTATAGAAAGAACTTTGCTTTTTCCAGAATAAGGGAGTCCCATATAACCCAGATATAGCAATTTAACTGTAACTCTAAAATCTCCTTATGAGATTAACATTCTAAATGTTACCAGCAAAATACAAGATACTGTAACATTACCTTATAACACAGATACATAAAATTCTTTCAGGCTGCAAAAAGATATTTATGTTACTAAACTTACATTTGAAGATCACAGTGCTTGAGAAAGTGTAGATCCAACATCCAAACATAGCTGCCATTGGGAAGGAACTGGCTTTAGCTTCTGTGAACAGAGGAGTCTCTTCTGAGGTAGGGATGGGAGAGTTCAGGACTCTGAGAAGGTAATATGTCATAATTTCCACTGGGTTCTCTGTTGAAATGTTTCTTTCTGCAGAGAGATTAGAAGTGCAGCACTGGGAGGAGAGGCTGAAAAACAAACATAAGCCTCCCTTGTTGGAGTACATTTTGTCCCCACAAAGTTATTTTGTTTGTGATCACAATTCAGTGAATACTTTTTGATAGGATTCTTTTATTGCAACTGTCTCTAAGAGGCTAAATTTCTCCAAGCAGCACTCTGTGGAGAATCTCAGCATTAGACAATAATTATAAATAAGAGTTCTACAAGTTACCAGAGTCCCAGACCAAAGGGAATGTGATAGGCCATACAGGCTACTGCTCTGCCTCCAGGCTGGATAAGAATCCTAACCCAAATGGACTGGGAAAGAGTCCAAGTCATTCTAAAATAATAACAGGAAAGATTCTGTTATGGACTGAATGTGCCCCCGCAAAAATTATGTTGAAATCCTGACCCCCATGGTGGTGGTATTAGGAGATGGGTCCTTTGGAAGGTGATTAGGTCATGAAGGTAGAACCTTCATAAATGAGATAAGTACCCTTATAAAAAGAGGCCAGAGAGCTAGCTCACTCTCTTTCTTCTGTGTGAGAACACAGCAAGAAGATGGACATCTGCAACCCCAAAGAGGGTCCTCACCAGAACTTAACCGTATTAGCACCCTGATCTAAGACTTACAGCCTCCAGAACTATGAGAAATAAATTTCTGCTGTTTTCAAGTCATCCAGTTTATGGTACTTTGTTTTGGAAACCCAAACCCCTCTGCATAAGGCAATCCAAGAATTAGAGATTTCAGAATCAGAAAAACACCTCTGGAGATCACTTGTGTAGCCTTTTGCAGAGAACAAAGGTATTATGCTAATTTCCTGTAGGCCTAATGTTAAGGCATCCTCAGGTGAAAATAACAAATGTGACATAAAAGCTACACATACTGTAGAATCTCAAATAACATAATTATACAACTTTTTAAGATCCTATGACTATTTTTTGTATATAAAAAGGAAGTTAGTATAAATTAGTTCTTAGCTAATGTAAAAGTATTAAACAGTCCTTTGTGCTATTTTTTTTTTTTTTTTTTTTTTTGAGACCGAGTCTCACTCTATCGCCCAGGCTGGGGTGCAGTCGCTTGATCTCGGCTGACTATAACCTCCACCTCCCAAGTTCAAGTGATTCTCCTGCCTCAGCCTCCCGAGTAGCTGGGATTACAGGCACCTGCCACCATGTCTGGCTAATTTTTATATTTTTAGTAGAGATGGGGTTTCACCATGTTGGCCAAGCTGGCCTCAAACTCCCGACCTCAAGTGATCTGCCACTAAAGAACTTATCCATATAACCAAATACCACCTGTTCCCCAAAAAACTATTGAAATAATAATAAAATGTTTTAAAAATAAAGAAAAAGGTGACATTGCTGGTGTGAATGTAAACTGGTGGAGTCACTCTGGAAAATAGTTTGGCCATTAATTCTTTTAAATGTTAAATATAAATTTACCATGTGAACCAGCAATTCAACACCTAACCAAGAAATAAAACGAAAACATGTAAACACAAAGACTTGTAAGTATGTTCATGACTGCATTATTCACAATAGCCAAAAAGTGAAAAAAATCCAAATGTTCATCAACTATTAAACAGATGAACAAAATATGATGCATCCATATAATGGAATACTAGTCTGCAAAACAAAAGAACAAAATACTGATATATGCTACAACATTGATGAGCCTCAAAAACATTATGTTAAGTGAAAGAAGCCAGATACAAAAGACTAGATATTGTATGATTCTATTTATAGGAAATTCCAAAGACAGGAAATCTACAATAAAAAAAAGTAAATTAGTGGTTGCCAGTGTTGGGGATAGGAAGGTGACTGACTACAAGTAGGCATGAAGGATCTTTAGAGGAGATGGCAATGTTTTAAGAGTGGATTATGTTAGTGGTTACATGACTGTAAATTCACAAAAAATTACTGAATTGTAAATTGTATACTTAAAAGGGTAAATTTATGATACGTAAATTTTATCAGCATCAGGCTGATTTTTAAAATGGGGGAGAAAAATAAGGACTTTCTCAAGAAAACAAAAGTAATGATGGAAATCCTAGTTAGTATTCCTATACTACAAGATACCGTGAAGAGGTATTTTTATGCCAAAGGAATATATTAGATGGAAACATAAATCTTCACAAACAAATCAAGGGTGCTAAAATGAAATAAATGAACTTATCTAAAATATTACTAGGAGTAAAATATTATACAGAAGTAGCTATAGTAGTATCAGACAAAGTAAACTTCAGAACAAAGAATATTGTCAGAAACTGAGATATTACACAACAACAAAGAGGTCAATTCTCCAATAACATATAAAAATTGTAAATGTGTGTGCATAAAACAGAGCTTAAAAATATATTAGACAAACTGTGACACTACTGAAAAGATAAAATGACAAATACACAATCACAATAGGAAACTTTTAACACTTCTCCCTTAGTAATTGAAAGAAAATGTAGGCAGAAAATTGGTAATGATACAAATTACTTAAACAGCACTATTACTCACCTTGACTTAACTGATATGTATTTTTAAAACTATATCCAATGCATGTTTTTCAGCAGCACATGGAATATTCATAAAGATCAACCATACAGCGGGCCATTAAAAAGCTCAACAAATTTAAAAGAATTGAAATCATTAAAAGTATATTCTCAGGAACCAGACATGGTGTCTCACGTCTGTAATCTCAGCACTTTGGGAGGCTGAGCCAGGCAGATTGCTTGAGGCCAGGAGTTCCAGACCAGCCTGGCCAACATGGAGAAACTCTGTCTCCATTAAAAATACAAAAATTAGACAGCCGTGCTGGTGAGCACCTGTGATTACAGCTACTTAGGAAGCTAAGGCAGGAGAATCGCTTGAACTTGGGAGACAGAGGTTGCAGTGAACCAAGATCACATCACCGCACTCCAGCCTGGGTGACAGAGCTAGACTGTATCTCAAAAAAAAAAAAAAAAAAAAAAAGTATGTTCTTAGGCCATATTGGAAATTAATGAAAGATATTTGTAAATAACACTCTTAAGAGAATGAAGGACTAACCACAGACTAGAAAAGAGTATTTGCAAATCATAAATCTGAAGGACTTGTATACAGAATAAAAAAAAGAATTCTCAAAATTCAACAGTAATAATGATCCACACAGTATGGTATTAAAGAAGGTATAAAAACATAGAACAATAGAACAGAATAGCAAACACGTACTTTGGGAGGCTAAGGTAGGAGGATCATTTGAGGCCAGGGGTTTGAGACTAGCCTGTGTAACACAGTGAGACTGTCTCTACAAATAATAATAATAATAACAAAGCTCCATATGGTGGCGCACACCTGTAGTCCTAGCTACTGAGAAGGCTGAGGTAGGAGAACCACTTAAGCCAAGGAGTGAGCTATGATTGCACCACTGCACTCCAGCCTGGGCATGGAGTGAGACCCTGACTCTTGAAAGGAAAAAGAATATCAGAGACAGAAATAGACCCACACAAAGATGCCCAAGTGATTTTTGACAGAGGTACATGGACGAGGCAGAGCTTTTTCAACAAATGGTGTTGAAGCAACTGGACATACATGAGGGAGGGGAAGAAAAAGAAAAATGAACCTTGACTTAAACCTCAAACTTTAACTCAAAATGCAACATACTGTGAATGTAAATATGCAAAACTTTTCAAAAAAAAAACACAAGAGAAAAATTTCAGACCTAAGATTAGGTGAAGAGTTCTTACATTTAGCATCAAAAACATGACCCGTAAAAGTAAAAATTGAAAATTATACCTCATCAAATTTAAAAACTTTCCTCTGTGAAAAACTCTTTCAAGGAGATGAAAAAAGACAAATTACAGACTGAGAAAAAATTCTGCAAATTATATATCCCACAACAGACTAATATCTGGAATATATAAAGAACTCTCAAAACTCAACCTAAAAAAAATCCAATTAGAAAAGAAGCAAGACATTTAACTGAAAAGGATACACAAATGCCAAATAAGCGCATGAAAATATGTTCAATATCATTAGCCCTCAAGAAAATGCAAATTAAAACCGCAATGAGATATTGCTACAAACCTATCAAAGTGGCTAAAATAAAACACAGTGACAATACTAAATGCTAATGAAGATCGGAGCAAATGGGTCACTGACATTGCTGGTCAAAATACAAAATTACACAGCCACTCTGGATGATGGTGTGGCAGTTTCTGTAAACACTAAAAATGGATTTACCAAATGACCCAGCAATGGCACTCCTGGGCATTCACCCCAGAGAAATGAAAACTTATGTTAGTGCAGAAACTTGTATATGAATGTTCACAGAAACTTTATTTGGAATAGCTCAATCTGGAAACTACCAAAATTGACAACGCTTAAATTATAGTACATCCATAGTATCACTATCCAGCAATAAAAAGGGATGAACTATTGATACAGGCAACAACTTGAAGGAACTTCCAGGAATTATGACAAGTGGATAAAAAGCAAATATGAAAAGGAAACATACTATATAGTATGCTTCCATGTATATAAATAACATCCTTGAAATAATGAAATTATACAGACAATAAACTAAATAGTGGTTGACAAGGGTAAGGGATATAAAGTAGGAAGTGGGTGAGGCTGTGGAGTGGTAATATGAGGGGAACATTGTGGTGATGGTACAGTTCTATACGTTGATTGTCGTGGAAGCTACACAAAACTATACATGTGATAAGATTGCACAGAAACACACACACACGTATATGTATAACTGGTAAAATCTGAATAAGCTCTGTGGATTGTACCAATGTCAATTTTCTGATATTAATATTGTACCAAAGTTAGGCAAGATGTTAACATTGGGGAAGGCTGAGTGAAGCATATACATTTCTTTGCAACTTCCTCTAAATCTATAATTATTTCCAAATATAGCTTTTACAATTAACCATAAGAAAACATGCACACCTGTAGT